ATCTTACACCTTCAATCCTTCTCTACCAGCCCTCTTTGCCTTAAGCCATTAAGTCGATAACCAAATACGACGCCTAGACATATAACTACATATATTACTGCTGTTTTTAAGAATTGTGTGGAATTAGCTTGAAAAGTTTATGTAATCATACATATTTTTAAAAAACTTCTTACAAAATACGTAAAGCTATATCATTTTAAAATATTTAAGCCGTCTACTAACCATCGATTACACCCATTTTAATATTTTAGCATTGAACATAAGTCGTTGAAAAGCCTTTTAGAATTATTTTATCAATTCAAATATTTAAAAAACCGCTCTTAACCCCTCCTTGAAGTGAACCGGAGCGGACAGGGCAAGTACAACAATAACTGTTTTTCAAATTAAAATACACAATAGCGTACAATAGTAGTTTATTTATATTCATCGCTGTAATATGCCATATCAACACAACACCTGACTCTACTAATGCAAATAAAAAATAAAAGGGTTAGCTAAATTACCATTATACGAGCCGACCCGCGGCATATCATATACCGCTATTTAGTTGTTTTATTTTCTACTTTTCAGTAATTCATAATTTGTGAATTCGACAGTACCAATGCTGCCACTGAAAATATTTGCTTTAAAACACTATCAGTAGGTTGTAAAGGACGGTACCCCCTCCCTCCTTTCCACCAACTGCTACCCTACAACCCCCCCCCCACCGTCCGTGAAAGCAGATTCCTCTTAGTTACCTCCCCTAAGTTTAAAATCGTTTCAAAATAAATTATCTGCCCCTAATAGCCGTCACTAAACCCGGCTCTACAATTGTAAACATTTAGCGTAAACCACAGTTCACCTGACAATGTGGGGGTGGGGTGGTAGGGACATGCCTAGAGAGGAAGAAAGGGGGCTGCTAGGCGCGCGTACAGCTTGGTGTTTTCTATGGCATCCAATAAGAGAATTATATATATTTATTATAGATTACTAGTAACTTTTGTTTGAATACTCCTAGCCTTAACTTGAAATCATTTTGCTCTTCTTCCCTCAAATTTTATAAAGTATTCAATTTTGTTGAAAAAATATGATTTCTGGCAATATACATGTGGAATCATTGGAACCATCTTTTCAAGGAAAGTACCATTTCGTTTTTGTGGACACTCTCAAGCAGCTGGGGGTGAGGTGGGGGATGTTTGGCTAAAGTTGAATCATAAGGCGGTGCAGGTGACGTGTCTATAATTTATATTTTTAGTAGACAGCAAACATGGATGATAACTATTTTTATATTAAAATACATGTTTAATATTTTTTGAGGAAAGCTAGTTAGTGAATTATCTGATTCATATTAATAAGTTAAAATGGTTTTGCTAGCTCAATGTACACCATCTACTCCTAACATTTTCTCAAAATCATCTGATGTGACAATAGACATGACAGGAATACATCCACAACAGTTTTAAAATAAGAAATCAAAATAAGACATCATAAATAAATTAGCAACAGCTGTAAAATAAGACATCAGGAATACACCCACAACAACTGTAAAATAATACATCAAAAGAAGACATCAAAAATATATCCACAACAGCTGTAAAGTAAGACATTAAAAAAGAAACATCATTGGTTACCAGAGACGGCATCAGCCTCGAATATTACGACAAGTAAACCCATCGTAATGAATGTCCAGATGTTGTGGAGGAGAGACATGTCTTTCGACTAAAAAATAATTATATCACCACATTAAACTCGTTAAATATACGCTGTTTGGTATGTGCATGTTTTTAAGTTTTACTATATGTCTTTTGATTACACCATAATTAAATCACCACATTAAACTCGTTAAATATACGCTGTTTGGTATACGCATGTTTTTTTAAGTTGTACTATATGTCTTTTGATTACAACATAATTAAATCACCACATTAAACTCGTTAAATATACGCTGTTTGGTATACGCATGTTTTTTTAAGTTGTACTATATGTCTTTTGATTACAACATAATTAAATCACCACATTAAACTCGTTAAATATACGCTGTTTGGTATGTGCATGTTTTTAAGTTTTACTATATGTCTTTTGATTACAATATAATTATATCGCCACATTAATCTCGTAAAATATACACTGCTTGGTATGTTCATGTTTTTAAGTTTTACCATCGCACTGCTGTTTGAGTCTATTTTAGATAAACGTTTTGGATATCAAATGGGATACTGTAGAGTGACTTGGTAAAACAAACACCATTAAACCAATGGTTATTGAACTTTTGTAGGTACCGAAACCTAACAGTTTCATATGAGCATTCATCGAATACTTTCTAAAAACCCTTATGTAACACGTTATTTGAATCCGTCCCATTTCTCGTTATATGAACATCAGGATAAAAAATCTACCTAACAACCCCATGTAGGTGTTAAAAACTGACCACGAATGACAACCTTACAATTGGCAGGTAAATTAATAGTTTCTTCCAGGCATGTCTACGGTTGTGGGGGGGGGGGGGGGGGGGCAGAAGGACGAATACCTAAACTAAATAGAATATTATATAGAAATACATGCTTTTACAATTGTCCGCCACCCGAAAAATTGAATCCGCCTCTAGCTTCCCCTCCCCCGAAAGTTTAAAACTCCCCTGTCCATCCCCCCCCCCCAATTCCCGAAGAATAAAGTCTGAAAGAAACAGTGTACAAAAAGCTTTGAAAGACGTGTCAAAACCCACCATATGGCGTATCAATCTAAAAAAATAAAACAGGAAATTTTCAAGAAAAATAATGCTAAATTCCCCTTGATCGTTAAAGGTACTTTCAATGTAAATAGATATATCTGCCCGGTTGTAAAAACTCGAGACTTCTCGGTTAAGCAACCATAGGCAGTGCTGCACCAACCACACCGGCGCCATATTATGGACGAACCGATTTTTGTTAGAATGAACAAATCGTTAAAATGTCCTTATTTCAGCATCGTAAGCTTAGCTCTTAAAGCGCTCATTTCAACAAAGAGTTTTCGAAGATTGAACTAGTGGGCAAATTAAGAATTTTAAAATATGCTCAATCTTTACTGGCAAATGGATGTATAATAAAGATGTATATTAATTCCAGTTTTGTAACCTAGCTTTTTATTAAGAATCCTTTAAGTGGAGCGAATATCCACATAGATTAAATCAATAAGCAGGTAATGTTAATCATTTTGTTAAATTTTGGGTTAGGCTAGAATTTTATATTTTTGTATAGATCTAATGGTTTGAATGAAGCCTTCCCTGTGTATTCCGGTAAATTGTGACACTATACACTATTGTTTTACTGGTTTTTACATTTTCTTTTACTACTAAACTGTTCCGGAAAAATTACCAGCGCTATATCGAAAGATATATAGATCTATTACCTTATCTTACTTTGTGAACAAAATAAACAAATACATGCATTCGTTTTGTAAAATTCTGTGCAAATTCTATAATATGAATGGTGAATTTACTTACCTCTCAGCGCTAGAGAAGCTGTTCAGCTACCGTGCTTTTATGCATTTTTAAAGGTGCGCAATTGTGTTTTTAATTGACCTATTGACACATTACTACTGATAAATCTCATTACTGATTACTACTGATAAACCTCCTGTATTATATTGCTAATAAATTCATTTAATCAAAATACATTTCAAATGCATTTTTTCTTCATTCAATTGTTCATTTTTACGTGTAATTACTAATTTATTTCAGGGTATTTATTTTGTGCAAGCTTTACTCAACTCGCGGCTTTATACAAACTTTTATCTAACTTACTTTATCGCGCTTTTGTGCTTAATGCTTTGCTCGCAATGGATCGAAACGGAAGAGCGAAATTTCAACCATTTGTACCTGATTGATAGCTTTCAAATTTGGTGCGGGAGTCATAATGCGATGACAATGAAATATGATATACAATTTGGCTTAATTACATTCGTACATAATTTTAAAAGAATATATTGAATTTTTCTATTTTAAGCGGTAATTTTCCATCCTAATATATGCAAATGGTTTGCTTTCATTCGTCGTTAAATACGTTTTTTTAGTAATGCACTTCTATTCATTAAACTATTTTAAGTATTTAACTTTTTTTTCCTACTCTTTAGTAAATTATTTTTATAAAAGGTTGTTGTTAGAACGTTTGTTATTGTATTTTTAGTTGGATAAAGTTGCTGTTAAGCGAGACGTTGATTCAATGTAGGACAATGTGGCTATGAGGTAGAGTTCTCAAAAAAGTCCCAAAAATTTTTCCAGATTGGACCTCGGCTTAAATTACGTCCGTCGTCCGTCAGTCCGTCAGTCCGCCTAGCTCTGATGGGTTTTTGACTCACGTTATGCAGGGTAACCAACTGTCCCCAGGTGTATCCAATCTTCTTGGTCTTCTTCCAGGTCACGTCTCCAGGTCGTTCTTGGTCGACCTTTTTTTTCCTTTTGCCCTGTGGATTCCAGGTGAGGGCCTGTCTTGTTATGCTGGATACAGGTACCTGGGTCTGGGGACGATTCATCTACAGTTTCTCTGGAGAATCTTTCTTCAGATGTGTGTTTGTCCGTCGCCAAAGTATCTCATTTCTGATAGTGTTATGTTAGTGAATTTAAAGGAATTTTCCAAGGCGTGAGATTTGAAATGCCAGTATTTTCGTCTTTTTACAAATGATTCTACAAGTATCATTTTCATAGAGTAAAACAGTTGTGTTATTCTCAGTTTACTTTTGTGTAGTGTTTAATCACACTGTGTGCTAATAAAGCCCTGGGGGGGGGGGGGGGGGGCGATAAAAAATTGAGGTGTGCAGGGCATTTTAATAAGTTGGAACTGGATGCGGTTTAGATAAGCCATGCTTCACATGAAAAACAAGTTCCCACTCAAAGATTATTGCATTATCAAATGTGTTTCCTTTTTCCACTATCGCATAAAGAGTGAATATGTAGAAGACAAATAGAAATTTAGAAAGAAAATATTCTCTTGAGGAATTTGGAAAAGGAAAAAAAAGTCAGAAAAAATGAATATATTTGTTTTTATTAAACATTTTTACTCATATTTATCTGTTTATACAAACAGTTCCTTTATCTGAAACAGAAAAAAAAGTTTAAAAAGGCTGAAAACACTTTTAGTAGTAAAAATACAGTCTTGATTAGACAGATAATTAATTTAAAAAAAACAACACACTTTAGAAGGTAATTAATTACTTGTTTTGTTTTCTAAAAGTCATAAAAATAGTGACAATGTCCTTCCCTAAACATGATATATATATATATATATATATATATATATATATATATATATATATATATATATATATATATATATATATATATATATATATATATATATATATATATATATATGACAGTATGTTTGTTTGTGGGCTTGTGGGTTTGTCCTTTATCCATTACTACACTTTTCAACCGATTGTAATGAAACGTTATGAAGTTGTTGAAAGTATTTCTGGAGAGGTTTCTACCAAAATAAAAAATATTTCTTATGGTTGGCAGCAGGAAGGGTATGAGTTTCAGAGCGGCTATTTAAGCATTTGGTATCCGTTAATTAGGCCTCCTGCATAGTGGTTTATAGGTATTATTATATTCAGTGATGAAACTACATCAAGCGCAGCCACTGGGGATTAGGTGACCCGAAGCGCCCCATTTTCGTCTATAAGCACTATAACATCTACACTAGTTTTAAAAAAGGCTTTATGCTAAAGACAAATTAGGCAACAATAATCGTTGACTACATCAAACGCGGTGCGAACTCCGGCGCCCCATCAGGAGGCGATGTCGCTAACCGTGAGCGCTGTGGCGCCTACTTTCATTCTAAAGATCACCCTACAATAGTGACACGGTACCACACAATTTTCAATGATTAAACCGAGCCAGGGGCCGTACACGGTGCGGACGGGCACGCTCGTATATATTAAATTTTATGTGTAGTATTATTTCACCTTTTCTACGATTTCCGGTAACCGGATGTGGTTTTTTACTCTGTTTGGCGCAAACACTTTAATTGGAGTACTGTTTCAGTTAGGTAAAGTAAATTTCATATCTACGTCGCCCAACCTTGCGGGACACAATCAAACGCAAGCCGACTCTCTAATCCTCCTCCTGCACCCTCCTTCGCTCTAGGCATGCGCAACAGTGTGTACCCACCCACCCCATTTGGACAACTGTGTCCTTCACCCGCCACTGAATAGCGGCCAATGCTACGCCGTGGGTCGGCTCTTATAAGTATAATATATTATTCTTAGATTACTTTTTACTTTGTGAGTGACTTCAGCAACTGGTAATGGTATTTTACCATATATTCGACCATTAAAAATGTTAACTACAGTAGACCTGCCGTTTCACTAAGGTTAACAAAATTGTATACATTTGAATTAAATCTTATTGTGTTGTTTAAGTTTAATTTTCATTCAAATTTATTCAAAATTATTCATATTTATTCAAATGTATTCAAACAACGGTTACAATTGTAGGCACAAAGGCCTTTTTTCACATTGGCCGTTTAAACAAATAAAACAATTCAATAACACATAACAGTAACATAGCACTAAAAATGTAGAATAAAGAAACAATGTTACATAGTTATCATACATAATGAGATAAAAAAGAGAATATAATAGATAAATGAGAAATGTTACAATGAGTCAGTTAGGTCATTAAATAATTTTAGTTTTAGTTTAGATTTGAATATATTTTCAGATCTAGATAGCTTTATTTTATAAGGAAAATTGTTCCAAAAATTAGAACCAGAGTAGGCGAAGCTATGTTTTTGGAAAAAAAGTTGAATATGGGAATGGTAAATTAAGACGACGATTTAATTTTATGTTAAAAGAAAATAGATCTGATAAGTAAGAGGGGGCTGTTTCGTGGAATATTTTATATAAGAAAATTGATTTAGTAAATATTATCTTTTTATTTAATGGAAGTATTTTAGTTGTAAGAAAAGAATCCAGACTACTAGACAAGCCAGTAACCAGTTTTATAGCCATTTTTTGTAAAGAAAGAAGAGGACGCTGCTTAGTTATAAAGCTGCCGCTCCACACTACAGAAGCATAATCCAACCTGGATTGAATAAAAGCTTCATAAAAAATTTTCATTGATTTTAGGTGACCTGATGTTGTATTTTAAGCTGTTTCCATCTCTCTAAAATTATCACTTCTATAGGACCTAATTATTTCAATCTTTTTACGTAGTTAAGATCTCAAAGACGATGAACTATGACATACATTTGTAATTTAATTATGATTAATAAACGGTTTAAAAATTAATCAATATTTCCTTTTTAAGTGCTATTTCTGTAAATTATGCATGCATTATTTACGTTCATCTTGGTGCGCACTGCATTTTTGATATCGATTCTTTAAAAAAAATATTAAAATAATAATAAAAAACATCTCTATTTCACGATTGCACTAAAAGAGCCACGCTATTACTGCTATATAAGAATATATTATGAGAAAGACTAGGGGAGATCATTCCCGCTTTACATCTAAAAATCTTGTTTTCCCACACAATAGTTGCGAAAAGCTGCTATAATCGTGTGCATCTAGAAAATTTGATACACAGTGGGAAAAAAAAAGTTTTCCTTTCAACATAAATCGATCAACAAAGCTATGTATATAATCAAATTTTCGTAAAATAAAATTCATTCGATCACATAAATAAAACTGCACTCAAGTTACATACAGTTAGTCGCATTCTCATTCGACAAGATTGGGAAAAGGGGTTTTACGATCAAGTAAAGTGTAAAACTCGTAAAAAAAAACGGAAGAAATTTTGCTCGGCAGTTTCGATCTATGTCAATCTATGACGACTGATGAAGCAATATTACTATTTTAAATCTGTATCAGTCCTCACAAGCCGGTGATGAAAACTGTAATACTAAAGCGAACACACACAACGCTGATGCTGTAAATTACATGTCTGAGGCAAAAAAAAAAGTTTGATTTCTAATTTAACGTATCAAACTTAATTCAACAAAAAAAAAGTTTTTCAAATGTTTTTACTGCAACCATTTTTGAGCAAACCAAATGGAAAAATAAGCCTTGTAATGTCTAGTCTTACAGGCTGCAACCTTTATCACTATACTTGTTTTCACCCCTTAGCTCATATCATGATTTTGATTTTGATTCCTGTTTCCATTTTAATACCTTTCTATTTGCCCTACACATTTGGTATGCCATTGTTAAACTGGTTTCTTTTTCTTGTTTGTAAATATTTAAACAATGTTGATGTGATTATTTTAAAATTGAAAATAAAAAACATTTTTTTTTAAATTTAAAAAATAAAAAAATAAAAAAAGACGACTGATGAAGCATGTTAAATACAAGTTTGTAAAAAAGTCATTTTTTCAATTTATAAGAACCCATACACATCTTCCTCCTAAGGGGTCGTCCATAAATGACGTCACACTCGAAAGGGGGGAGGGGGGTCCGTAATTTTGTGACGATATGTGAGGAGGGGGAGGAAGGGTTAGATGGTGTGACGTCACAGTTTTGCATTATAAAAAAGCAATGTTAGAAAACAAGTTTTAGCCGTTATTTCGCGTTTTAATAGGAATTGATGAAAATATTCTGTTGACTGAGTTCTGACAAGATTTTGGAAAAATATCGTTTATTTAGTAAAACTTCAACAGCAATTTTGATTGGGGGGGGGGGGGGGTTGTAGGCTGAGGTGTGACGTCATTTTAGGGTGGGGAGGATCTGGTTTTTTGTGTCGACGTGTGACGGGGGATAGGGGGAGGTAAAAAGCGTTAAAAAGCGTGACGTCATTTATGGATAACCCTAAAAGGCAATGACAAGGAATTAAAATAACGTGCTATAATGATTATAAATAGTTATCGTATGTAAGATATTTAAAAAAACGTACCAGTTATATCTTACCCATAGCGACGGCAATATTTTGTCTTGTCCAAAGCATATACTTCACTTAAAACCATAACAAATAAATACAGGAAATAATAAATTAATTAATTAATACATTTAATTAATTAATTGATACATTTAAAAATTCTGTACAGTACAGTACATAGCAGTACTGCACAGCACTGCACATATATGTGTTAAGATCAAGCCGACTTACACGCAAGATTCATGACTTTTACAGTCCTCATCACGTTTGCATTCAATATCAGATTTATTTTTACCGGATATCCCGCAACTGTGAATAGTTGAATGAAAAATAATACATAAGAAACCTTTTAATAACAAGCCTTTATGTAATAATGTACTAAAAAGAAGAAAATAAATGATGTTCTTTAAATATATAATAAAACACTACTATTTAATTAGCAATAAAGAAAAACGTTGTTCACTCTACTATCTATCGGATAATTTTACTAATATTTAAGAAAATACCCATCGTCGATTTTCTCCTTTTATGTTCATTGATACATAAAAACTTGTTATAAAATATTTTTAAATTTGTTTTTGTTTTTTTCAGTGCTTATTTTTTTTTAACACAATAGTTTTCGCCAGAGGCGTAGCGAGGACGGGGTGGGAGGTGCGGAACGCACCGTGTGAGACCGTTTAGGGGGTGACACATTAGGAAACCAATTAAGTCAAACTTAATGTCATGTTGCATTGTCTTCATGTCTTGACCCACCTACCAACTACGAATCTTATCTGTCATTTAGAAGTGACTGCAATGTCGCCCGGGTGTTTCGATCTAGACATACTGGTGACTGACGACTGACGACAGACAGAGGAATTTAATTAAATAAAGCTTGTAAAAAGTCCATGTCTCTCTCTCTCTCTTTCTCTCTTTCTCTCTATCTCTGTCCGCAACATTTTTTATGCCATTTAATCAGTATGTTCAGCGATATATGGAGAACTTACAGCTATGGAATTTTGTTGTAAAATACCATGTTTGATGTTCTAAATGTATAAACTAAATTTTATTCAAAAAAGAAAAATAAAGGCCTATTCGAATTTAGGAACACAATTGTATGCACCCGGAAAAGCGTTTATTTTTGTGAAAAAAATCCCGCAATAAACAATGACGTCATATGTCACAATGTTAAAATTCGGAAAGTATAAAAAACTAATTGTGTCACCTTCCAATTATAGAATAAGAAGAAATGAAATATTTCATTGAAATTTGATTTGTATCTATATATCTACTTATCGAAACGTACGCTACGAAATGTATACAATTTTCTCGGCCTAAAGTAATACAAATTAATTTTTAAAAAAACAATGTAAAAATACCATTGAACAGCCGGAATTTTAATGGAATCATGTAAATCTCTTAATCAGTGTGTGCATTTAATATGGTGTTGTGTTGACTAATAATGTAGGCCTATATCTTTTGGTTTTTATAATTGGTATTGGTAGCCTATGTTATTTAAACCCTTTATCTACTGACGGTACTTATAAGTACCACTTTAATTAAGTGCCTGTATTATTTTTAATTTAATACGAATTTTAAAAATTATTGAGGTAATTAATAGTATTATCTCCCCTGAGTCGCCGGTAGTCGGAGGTATCAATGTTTTTTTTAAAATTAATGGTGTGGCGCCATTTTCAATGTCTTGCTGTATCGGTAGTTCACAATTGTTATGAACAGTTCTCACACACGTTCCTGAATTCCCTTTGTTTTACCTTATTTTTCAAGTTTTCAACCCCAAATATTTTTTATTGGCACCTTCAATAGTCAGGCAAACGCGTTTAACTTCTAGTTATACAATTTTTATCAAATTGTCTTTGTATTAGATCGATGTTTACAAGTGGACTTATAAGTACCGTCAGGGCACACGGTTATTTTCTTAGGATTTTTAGAAAACGGCAGATTTGTTAGGTGGAGTTACATAAATATTGTCTTGATAATAAATAATCGAAATGTACTCAAAATGATATTTACACAATTATAAGAAGGTTTGCATAAGGTATACCTAAGAAATATTGTAATTACATGTTAAATTCTATTAGTAAAAAATAACAAGAATAAAGGTATCAGTTGCAGGCTCGTTTACAAGGTTTAGTTTACTGCATTTGTATACCAAAGCCTAGTTCTAGTAGTTAAATTTAATTTGTTAGTTATATTTACTGCAATAAACTGTCTTGCCAACAATAACTAGCATTTACGAAATGTATACCTGTAGACTAGTAATAGTCCATACTTCTGCATATATATACTATAGATCTATAAGGTAAATTGTAATCAGTAAACAGAAAAGAGTAATACACTACGGCTATCCTAAACACATTGAGCTTACTTCTATTTATGAACTTTGCACTGTAGTGTAGACTTGTCATAACATTCTAGTAGGCTACAATTATACTAGTATTACTAGTAGTTGTGTGCTGAATGACTAGGCTTTTGTTTGTTTATGCGGCTCATTGTACTAGTTATTGGAAGCTTCCAGCAAAAGCATATTCATTCCGGCAACCGTTGTTATACCAGAAAGACCACAGACAAGATTGAGGGAGCATAACATGTCGACTACTTTTGCTGTGTATGAGGTCTAAGATGTGTTCCCATAGAAAATCCAGTAAAAATCGTACTCAAAATATACTTTTGTGCTGTATTTATGTGTGAAAATTACAAAAAATGATTGTTATGATGATTGACATGTTATTAGTTAATAAATTGTATCGTTTGTTCCTGTTTTGTAAAATAAAATTTTTGAAAAAAAAAAAATTTAAAAAAAAAAATTTCCTAGATTACTGACAGTACTTATAAGTACCAATATCTGTTTGGGCCATTACAAATTTATGAAACGAAATTTCCTTCGACATATGCTTTGAATGTGCCAAAAGCAATATAGTAACACATTGTTTAAGTAAAAATCTCATTCAGAACATAATTCCGTAAATAAATGGTTAAAATGTAACGGAATTTTAGCTATTTAGTTATTTCTGCGCCTTATCACAAATATCGATCGACGTTTAGTAAAGAACATTGCGTTTTGACCATTGTAAAATTAAAATATATAGGCCTATAATTCATTGGTAACGGGTACCGACGGCTAGTATATTATATTACGCAAATAGCTCTTTAAATGCATATTAATGCACTATTGTGCTACAAAGAAAAAGCTTGTTTACCCACACATACACTCATTTGAGTTTAATCTTCATAAAGAAACACATTCAATACTTTCAATACCATTAAAAATAAAAATTACCTTGATGTGAAGTCAGCGTTGATGACGAACAATAATAACAATCCAACTAACTTCATTTCAAACTGAAGATGTGGCTGCTTTAAAACAATATATATATATATAATATATAAAGCTCAATTCTTTATGTAAAAATAAGTTTGTTTGTCGTTGACATACTTCTATGGATTTAAGTGTTAGACTATTATCGTGCTCATAGTCTAAATTTATGAGTTAAAAAATTACTATTGAAAGTGTTGGGAAATAATTTTCATTTTTCAAACTGATAGTAATAATTGTCGGCATGTTCCTTAAACACAATTTTAAAAAAAATAACAAAAATTCTAATTATGTCTGAAAATTATTTATATTTAGTCCTTTATCACTTACTTCCCTTTGATAAATTAGGAAAACACAATTACTTCCCTTTATAAAACATTGCCTTAGTAGAAAAGAATTTACTTTTTATTACTTTGTTTTGGTGTTGGGAAAAAAATAATTACATAATTAGCGGGGATTGATCAAGTGCAAATGTTGTAGGTGTTTTACGAATAAGCTTGGAGTATTATAATTGTTCATTTGGTTTGGTTTGGCACCTACGTTCGTTTAAGTGAGTGGAAAAGACTATGAATAAGTTGGGGTACTATAGTCGATTATTAAGCTGAAACAGGCGATTCTGCCTCGGGCTAGACTGTGAGCACTTTGCGTTTATATTCGCGTTAGTGTTTTCTTTGTGTTTAGGTTGGGTTTGCGTTAGTGGTTGCGTTTTGATTTGGTTCGTTTTTGTTCTTTCTTTTTTCGTTTTCGTATTCGTTTTTTTCTTTGGGTTTGTGTTTGTGTTTGTATTTGTGTTTGATGTTGGTTTTGCGTTTGGATTTGGTTTGTTTTCGTTTGCTTTTTCGTTTGTGTTTTTTTTTCTTTGGGTTTGTGTTTGTGGTTGGTTTTGCGTTTGGATTTGGTTTGTTTTCGTTTGCTTTTTCGTTTTTTTTTTCTTTGAGTTCGTATGGTGTTTGTGGTTGTGGTTGGGTTTGTTGTTAGGTTTTTGTTTTCGTTTGCTTTTTTGTTTGTTTTTTTCTTTATGTTTGTATTGGTGTTTGTGATTGTGGTTGGGTTTGTTGTTAGGTTTTTGTTTTCGTTTGTATTTTTAATTGTGTTAGTGTTTTGTTTGCGTTTTGTTGTTTTGGTTGGTTGTGGTTTGGGTGGGCAATGCCGGGTTTATGATGATTACTAAACACACAGCTAATGGTCTTTAACAGAAAGGTATTTCACAGAAGCCAGAGCAGGGCCTGGCCGGGACGGCTAGTAACGTCTAAAATTCGTTTTCTAACATTGCTTTTTTATAATGCAAAAGTGGGACGTAGCACCATCTGAACCCCCCCCCCCTCTCCCACCTCCTTCTCATCATAAACCGTCACAAATTACGGACCCCCCTCCCCTCTGCTAAAGTGACGTCATTTATGGACGACCCATTAGAGTAATATAGAAGCCCTTAGCCTAGTCGCATAGAGTATATTAGTAAACCTTTGCATAGATGTATATAGTATTCTAAAATCCCTTTGCATAGGCGCTAGGAATATATTAACAACCATTTGAATCTGAGCTAAGGCCTAAACAGTGTGTGTACGATACATTTCTACATTCAAAGTTTCTGATAACTATAAAGCAAAAACTACTTACTGCGTTTGAAGAGCTTTTGAAAAGAACTGCTTACTGTGAGATCGCACTTAAGCTCACTGAATCTAACAATGGGCAGGCTGGATTTCCATTTGTCTGTTTAGCTAACTAAGCTATAGTCTGTTTCTACCATCTACCCTGAACTAGCGTCATCACAGACACGTATTGTTTATCGACAGGCTAAACCAGTGGTTCCCAAACTTTTTCAAGTGGCGACCCCCTTTTTATAACTGAAAAGTCAAAATTAGTAAGGAAATTGATAAGTACTAAAATAATACCTTCTCCTCGACTTTCAACATGAATTATTCTTGATAACTGTTTTAATACGATGAATGAAATTACATGATACTAACCTCAACATTTGCAGTTGAGTTTTTGTTAACGCCAAGATCACGTCATTCTCAACACTCACTTTATTTCTTTGTTTTGTTTTTAATTGGAGAAGTGTTGAAAATTCACTCTTGTAAGGATATGTACACACAACAGGAACTTAAACTCAAAAGGCAATCAATTTCACGTTTGCGTATTAATGGTGCACGCTACACCAAAATTGTGTGAGCAGTTTTTCACTTAACACGGTATAAGACGCGGAATCATTCCTTAAAATTAAGAATTCATCTTGTAATTAATCGGGAAAGCTGGCCAAATCAAGGGAAGCAGAGATCGGGTTACGTGTCAATGCAGATTCTTCTTTCAGCTCATGAATTATAACGGAGCAGTTTGTTTTTAAGAGATTCAAAATGCAAAGAATCTTCTTTCAATTTTTTAAATCTCATAATTGTAGCGTTTCTCAAACATGGCAATATTTCTAAGATTTTTTTTTCTTTGCCAATTTTGCAGCTTTGATAAAAATGCCTCAGATTATCGTCAAAAGAGATAATATTCATATATATATATATATATATATATATATATATATATATATATATATATATATATATATATATATATATATATGTTAATTCATTACATCAGATTGATGCAACAGTAGCTGGGTTCAAAAAAAGATAATGTTATGTTTTTCTATGATTTACTGATTTACTTAATGCTAATCGTGTGACAACTAATGCAGTGTAATATTTCTAAGTGTCACATGTCGATTAAAGTTCGCTAGACTGTTTTAAAATATTTTAAACAAAGACAATTTCGAGGAGCAAAGAGTTCATGTGTAACAGGTGGCTATGATTAACGTGCTTTGTGGTGTAGATGTGGATGTGCCTGAAGTGTAAAATGATGCTTTTGACGCGCAGTGTGGTGTTGATATGAATGCCGTATTCTGTGCAGTTGACGTGAATGGCCTATAGTCCGATGTGGATGTTGATGATGTATAAAGCGCGGTAGAATCATGAGAGTAGATTGGGTTGTAGGTGTGTGCTAAAATGAAGATTATTAAACACTACATAAAGCTATAGAAGTATACGCATGTTAAAAACTTTCTTAAGAAAAAAAAACCACGAGTTTGAGTGTTTGATTTCGTGTAGCATTGTATAAGTTCCCGATCCTAGCTATAGGCCTATATACATACACTTGTACCAGCACCAGCTGTTGCCTATATTTATGTCAATCTGACATATGGGTAGCTAGTTATTCTGATCAAAGAATTGTATTGCCCTAATACGCATTCACGAGACTGGATTTGCTAGTTGGCCAACTAAATATGTTTACTTGCGTCACACTTATGACTTTACGTATAAAACTTACTTACAAATATCTAAAATGTTTACATCACATTTCATTAATCGTAACGTCATTTGCACTTTCTGACTATTTAGTATATAAAAGTATTAACAATTTCCACACAAATACACATTTGGGACTTTTTTCCTGTGACACTTTTCCTGTGACTTTTTTATGTGTGAATTTTTTTCTATAGTTTGTTCCTGTGTTGTTTTTTTTTCCTGTGACTTCTTTTTCCTACATTCGAAATTTTACAATTAATTAACTTTTTTTTTTAACCAGAATCGAATTCTCAGAAGCTGACCATCTGTGTGATTAATGTTTCTCCAATGAAACTACCATAGCTAACATGCCATCGTATACTTATCTCCCTCCTCTCTCTCTCTCTCTCAAGCAATAAAGTTCAATATTTTAATCTAACTCCGGTTTCGACTCTCCGACTCTTGTAAAAATCTTCATTTTTGGATGCGGGGATGGGTAGCTTTTATGGATTGGCAGGTATATTCCCTATGACAGGAAATGATTTTAAAAGGCTGAATTACTTTTAATTTTTTTAAGTGCAGTTGGTATTATGTTTGTTAGTTAAAATAAATAATTTTAATAATTTTATAATCGAGACTGTAAATGAAATAAATAAATAAAATAGATATATATAATAGTTGTATCGATGTAACCAACAGTGCATTTTACTATTCTGATACATAAGATAAAGTGGTACAACTCAGTTTTAAGATTTCTAAAAGAAACTTCACTCAGAGGACAAGGGATGTAGTGGGTTATATTGTGGAAAACTCAAACCGTAGAATTAAATGGGAGCTAACTCATTAAAGGGAAAAAGGAGATCAGTCAAAGATTAACAATTAAAAATGACTGCTATACCCAGGTTTTCAAGCAAATAAAGATTAAACCATTCAAAAAATTCAGTGAAATATTTAACAAGGGATTTATGAGTTTTGTAATAATTGGTGTTGCTTGGAATTCTTTGAAAATAATATTTGTTTTGTCAGATGCGCAATAACTGTATATCTTCATTTGTTTTAATAAAACATTACTGCATAAATTGGAATGCTGTGTTAATATTACATTTCAATGTTTTTATTAACTTATCTATGTTTGGCTTATAGCTATATTGCTAGTGAGCAAGTGCGCATTAAATATAAACCAGTTTATAGTTAGGAATAATGTTATGTCAAGCTGTTGCCTTTGAAGAGCTTAGTGAGGCATAAGTGTGGTTTTGAAAATTCTTTTGTGTCCAGCACACGTGTATGAACGCGAGGACTAATCAATACACGATCAAATCTGTGACACTAAGCTCAAAAGTAGAGTAGGCTTATACAGCCTCCGGGCATGAGTTTGTTTAGTGAGAGATATGGGGGCTGGGGTGGGCATTAGTACTTTCACGTTTCAAAAAGTTATGAGCCTGGTGGTCAAATATTAAGAATAAGTGTCGCGTGGTCAAATCAGTAACGCTCATGGTTGATAAACTGAAAAGTCCCGAGTTCGAAACCCGAGGCTAGAATTGGCTCGACAGCTGGGGCATTAACATCTAGGGGAGACAACTCGACAAGTGGGACAGCAACACATCTAGGTGAGACAACTCGAAAGATAGGACAGCAACATATCTAGGGGAGACAACTGGACAAGTGAGACAAGCAACACATCTAGGGGAGACAACTCGACAGCTGATACAGCAACACATCTAGGGGAGATAACTCGACAGCTGATACAGCAACACATCTAGGGGAGATAACTCGACAAGTGGGACAGCAACACATCTAGGAGAGACAACTCGACAGCTGATACAGCAACACATCTAGGGGAGACAACTCGACAAGTGGGTCATTAACTCATCTAGGGGATACAACTCGATAGCTGGGGACAGCAACACATCTAGGGGAGACAACTGGACAACTGAGATTACAAGCATCATCTTTTCCCTATCCTGCCCAAGAATCGTATGGCAGATGTTGTAGGGCTCATCTGTTTCAATGATCTCGGATGGCCAGGGGATAGCGTGGTCAGCTCTATGCCCAGGGACAAATAATCTCAAGCGCAAAATATTTCATTAACAAAAGTTACCAAGGCAAATTATACCATGGACAAATGGCAACAAAGTATCTCTGACCAAATATATATATCATTTAGGAAGATTTTAATCGATTTTAATATTTATTTAAATTTATGGCTTATTTTGTACACATAATAAATGTGAAAAAAAAAGTTTGTCCAATTACATTGGACTTATTAAAATTGCAACTATTAGATATATAATATTTGTAGATTAAAACTAAGGTTCGATAGACAATTTGGGTGGGCTTGCCGATCATAAAACAAAACTTTGACATACGTTGGAGGACACATGATCAAAGAAGATGACCCATCTACTGATGAAAGGGCTATAAAACACATTCGTAGCTAACTGGCCTCTCGCTTTGTTGGCGGAAAGACCCCAGGGTAGAATACATCCGCTCTCCGTGGACAAAACAACTGTCCCCCTTAATTAAGTCAATTGGTACTTTCCGGTCACACATAAGTGATTACGTAACAAATGCTTATTTTATTTAGTATACACTTAAGTATGTTAAGTCTGGCTTCAGGGAACACGGGGTGATAGAGTTGTGGCTTGACAAAGGGAAATAACCAAACCAAACACATTTACACCAAGCTAAGCTACACCCCCTTTTCTCTGCAAAATAAATAACAGTAGAAGCAACACCTTTCTCAGTACAACGCGAAAAGTAGCAGAGCCGAGCAATCTATCGCCTCTGTAACAATATCTCCCTTTTTCCCTATCCTCCAAACTAATAAAAATTAGGCCGCATTTTACTATTTAACCATAGTTTGATCTTTACAATTACAATTATCACAACCCTACATATATACCCCTCATTTTGTATTAGAAAATTTTACTCTTCACCTACAAGCTGATAATGATGTTCAAAACTTAAGACCGCAATATGAAATTGTATTTTCTTAAATGCTATAAATATTGTAAGGGACACCCTTACAAGGTGGACGAGCGGGAATCTAAAGTCATCTCTTTCATTTTATTCTTTGCAACATAATGTGCAACTCTCTATACTTTGCAATTGCGTGCATTTGCTGTGTTCTTACTATCTAAATTTTTAAAGTATGTATCGGCAGTACCTTGTAATTATAGTCGTATACTTGACCACCCGTTGTCCGTGGATAACTGTAGGTTCCGGGGTCATTTATAAATAACGTCATGCTTGTTTGACAATTTTGATTCCCCCCCCCCCCCCCCACTCCCCAATGTCACATACTGTCACTAAGAAACTTCAAAAAATAATCTAAAAAGACCTCACACATCAGCCAACCATGAGCTTTACCGACTCGACCACGCCGAAACCGTTGCCTACCCTCCAACTTAAAAGCTTATCCAGTGGTGCAGCAAGTACTGACATGAAATTATGTCATAATTTCCAATATTGGACAGGACAGGAGGTTTACGATCTGCCACGCCATTGCCTTATAAATTTATTTGTGACTAGAAATCCTAAAATAAATGATCGTGTGCCCTACGGTACTCCTGAGTATTCGTGTAAAGATTAATATGATACAAAGACAATTTTAAAAACTGTATAAATACCTGAATATTGAAGAAGTCAATACAATATGTATATATATATATATATATATATATATATATATATATGTATATATATATGTATATATATATATGTATATATATGTATATATGTTTATATATATACATAAGTCTAACTTTTATTTTAAATCTGTAAATTTGAATGATTTTAATTAATTGGTGATTCGATTGTATGCGTAAGCCAAAAAGTCTCGAGTTCGAATCCTAGGGCTGCCTTGTAGTTTATTCTTGGTTGGACAAAGGCTATGGAAGCAAATTTAAAAAGAAAAGCAGACTGAAATCTGAGTAAGTGACCTAAATGGTGCATAACAATTTGACATGTATCCTTAATTGTGATGGAGGCGTGGTCGATTTGGCAAAAGCTCATGGTTGATAAATTCGAAAAAAAAAAGTCTCGAGTTCAAACTATCTGGCAGTTAAGGCTCGATCAGTTCCAACACTAAACATTAAGAACGAAGAAGAAGAAGAAAAGCAAAGAAGGAGGGTAGGCCTCTTATATAGGACCTACATGAAACGTTTCAACATTCATAACAACACTGATACAAGGCAGTGTCGCTGCTTGAGCTTTGGTGCAGTTTGTTACAGATGCTCAATGTTATTGCTATTGGAAGCTTCCAGCAAAAACAGTCCAACAACTGTTGCCACACAGAAAGAAGAACACAGAATAGAAGTCACTAAGGAATAAGAGAGCATGACATGTCGGCACTTTTTGTCGTGTTTGGTACAGTCAGAAGAAAAGTCTAATATATGTTCCCATATAAAATCAAACAAAAATATACTAAAAATATAGTTTATTGTTGTGTGTGTATGAGAGATTTACAAAAATGATTGTTACAATGATTGCCATGTTATTAGTAAATAAATTTTACAGTTTATTCTTGTTTTGTCATTTTTTTTATATTTTTGTGTGGAAAAAATGCTCAACATTCCTGACTGCACTTAAAATTTCAAATATATATTTGGGCTATTAAAAATGTACGTAACTAAATTCACTTCGATCTATGCTTTAATTAAGTATGCAAAAATCAATATAATAACACATTCTTTTAGAAATAAATTCCATTCAGAACTTAATTCAGCACATGAATGATTAAAACTCTAATTAAGTCAAATATAAAATGCTTGCCATTGGATCCAGACGCACGTGTCAAGGTTCAGAGAAATTGTTAGGTTAATTTCACCTGACAATTTCGATCCATGACAAAAAAAAACCTGGGTTCAAGCTCTGAGTTCCAAGGCTATGTACTTTACTTGAGCATTGTTGACTCTACTAAACCCAATGTGCAGTTTAAGCATTTTAAGCATTTTCATTCAGAGGTTGGCAAATCTCAAAGGAAATAAACTATAAACACTGCTTCTTTTTCTTACCGCAGTCCAAAATATATCGTAATTTAAAATATAATATAGCCTATTAATTTATAAGTAGTAGATTATCTATTATTGATACCTATTTTGAGAATGCAACCTGCGAAATTAAAAAAAAAAATACTCTGAACGCTCGGCTTGCAATTACAACTCAATGGAAAAAAAAAGAATTTTAAGAAATCGCAAAAAAAATGTTATGTCATAAAACTCTTTAATTTACATTACCTTATTTACAAATATGAGTATAATGTACATAAATATAACAATGAAAAAAATTAATCAACTATGAATAATACATTTACACATTTACATTATTAAACAACATATCTCCAATTCTCGCTCACTTTGAGAAACCACCATTTTTAAATACAGATAGAGCAAAAAACTATTTATACACCCACGTAAACAGCTGCTAGGGTTCACGTGATTCTAACAAGCAGTTTGTCCATGTAAGCAGTAGCTTATTCAGAGCACTATACAATATCGAATCTAGGTACTGAACTCGTGATTATTATTTAAGGTGTATACTGCATTCTTCCTCTAGACTATGCTAGCACTTAAATAAAAAATTAAGATTGTAAAAAATAACTACAGAGTTGAAAATACAAATATAAACTAAGTATGATGTGGAAAAAATATAATAGTTATTTTACTCAGTTAATTTTAAATTAGTGCACCATGCCTTAAACATTTTATACAAAAATGTTATATTTTTTAAAAATATGTAACGTATGCTTTAAATATTATATTAGCCCTTTTATTGTATGTTGATAGTACAATTACCAAAAACAGTAAACTACTACAAACAGTTTGTAATGCACTTTGATTTTCCTTATTGCACCCTTTGTAACCTTACACAAATTAAACTTTCTTCTACAATGTAGCAACATATGAAAATGAATATTCTGACAATTATATTAATTTAATTGTGATGTTGTCTCCATACTTAATATTGTAATCTTTTAAGCACCTATCATCTGCCAGTACAGTTCCAGCAAATTCCCATTGCTGATATCCTGCCACAATGTGTAAAGCATCTTTGTTGTTTTCTTTCAGCTGGCTTATGGGTGTAAATATGGAAAGGGGCAATAGCACTTTAACAGACGCTCCATAGTGTTTTAACTTATGGAAAGTAATAACCAGTTCATCTTTTGTTGCAATAGGCAGTTTTGGCTGAGAACTACTTGAATTATTTTCTGAAAAAAATAAATAATACATACATTAAATAATAACATGATATTTGAAAAGTATCTGATTGTTGTTAATATATTTTTCTATGTTAATTTTTAAATGTTGCTTAATAGACAATAACTCAAATTGTTGCCAATTTTGATTTTTACTTTCTCGTATATACGAAGTATAGAGAAAGTATTGTAATCGTGCAAAAAATCTCTTGAAATTTTAACAATTTTCACCGTATTACACCTCAGTCCTTCATCACATCCGAAGTATAGAGGACTTATTTTAATCGGGCAAAATTATCAATCCAGATTTATCAAAATTAAGAGGTTTTATGCGTAATCCATTCTGAAAAACTGGGCTTTGCAATTCTGTCCGTATGTCTGTGTGTCTGTCTGTGTGTAAACACGATTACTTGAGTACCGTTACAGCTAGGTTGATGAAATTTCATATATAAGTATTTTATCAAAATCGTAGATCCGTATTAACTTTTGAGCAATTTCCTATAAACGGAAGTGGTACTTTTTCTACTTTGAATTTTTCAAAAGCCTATAACTTGAGTACTATTTCAGATAGATAAATGAAATTTCACAGTTGAGTAAAAGATCTAATTTTCCACCTTCTGTTAAATTTTGAGTAATTTCCGTTGATCGGAAGTAGTAATTTACGCTACTTCCGATTTCTCAAAAAACTAATGTAAATTTTTAAAGTACTAATAATATTGCGCACAAGTATGCACTTTTTTATTTGGCGTTCACTCGGTGTGCAATTATTTTGTCTACGAGATTTTATTCTATTTTTAAAACTTTAAGTATTTAAAATGGATTAAAAATCATGTCTATAGCCCGAGTTCCCATCCCCTGTTGTTTTATATAAGAATATTCGAGAAAGTTTAGGTGAGATCACTTCCGGTTTATTTTTCTCAAGACTAGCTATCATCCAAATAGCTTTACACTTTTTCTTTGTAAAAATATTGGCATTAAAAACTAATAATAAGTTAAATTGAATTAGTATTTAGTTTACTTCCAATGTTTAGCCCAGTTCTTTTTGATAAATCTGACAAACTTTATTTAAAAGGAAGTTATTTTATACCTGCTGATAGACTATCCTCTAAAGTAACATTTCTTACATCTGTCTGATACTAAAATAAGATAAAAGGTATGCATTAATAATGCATTATATAGAATTAAAATATTGCTATCAATTAAAAATGTATTATCCTAAATGATTAATATTTTGAAATGGCTTTTAAACTAAGAAATGTCAGAAAAAGCCAAAGTAATATTCTTTTTTACATATTGTAAGAAAAAATTTGTTCAAGAGAAAAAGCACATCAATGCTCGATTCTAATTCGAAGTAATTTATCTTAGATTACTACTCTGTAGATTTTGATTATTTGTCTGAGTAATAACCCAAGCATTGATAGCATCATTGCTGATTCATAATCTGCTTAAAAACTTAGCTGTAAAAACACAATATCTATAATTATATAACACATTGTTGCATATAAAAATTGTTCCTTAGTGAAATACATTAGATTACATCATACCTGAACACCTTCATTACTGGGATTTTTCTCTCTTTCATAGCATTCTGTAATGGAAAGTATATTTATTTATAAAAAGGTAAGAAATAAATAGTTGTAAAGTAGGACTAAAATGCTTATAATTGAATTACCTTCTTGTGGTATAACATCTGTTTGAAAAGTGAAATCCTGTGTAAAATAATAATAGTATTTAATTGATAGTCTATTTAATAACCAGTTCCCTTCATGTTTCTACAACTACACACAAAACATAATAAAATACAGAAAGAAAAACTCTTCATGATATTCTCAACATAACACTTGGCACTATCTTTACCAAACATAAATGCCTGTAAGAATAATAACTTTCCTAATTTTATTGCTTTATTAAGCCATGTGTTAGCTTAAGTATTTAAAATTTTGCTATATCCCTGATTCAATTTATTTTAATATTAGGAAAATAACCATGCCTCTTATGTTCAGTTTTTTAAATTTTATATAGCAAATTTTGTACCTGTTCATAATCGATGTTTATTACCTGAATTATATTTGTATCATCTGTAACATCCTCTTCTAAGGTATTTGCCAAGCCTAAGCAAATTTAACATTAAAATAAAATAAAATAAGGTTAAATTGTTTTTTTTTAATACAACTGAAAATACTGCATTTCTGAATAGTGTTTTTATTTTTTTTCTAAATATTTAAATGAACATATTTTGCAGATAATTTACTGTTGAGTTAAAATGTTATTATCTATGTTAAGATACTTCAGTGTGGCTACATAATAATATTTACAATAATAAAAGTAATGCTATGAAAAAAAAACTTTTTAAAAATTAGAAAAATGTGATTTTCAAGTACCTGCTACCTCTGTTTCATCTGTTGTTACCTGGGTACAAAACAATGCATATTTATAACTCATCTTACAATATCATTAGCATATATATATATATATATATATATATATATATATATATATATATATATATATATATATATATATATATATATATATATACACACATACATGCACACATACATGGACACACAGGCCTGCAAGCCCGTTGGCACACACAACACACACACACGCACACATACACACACACACACACACAATTACTTATTTATTTTAATTTTAAATGTTTTATTAAAATATAGTTACCTGTTGTTGATAATCGTTTGAGCGATATTGTGTGCTTGGTTCTATTTCATTTGTCCCTTCTAAATGACAAGTTTAAAAATGAGGATAAAAATAAAATCAGCCGTGGAAAGCGGTTACCTATAAACCCTAAATATACATAGTTTTAGTTCATTTTGCATTTTTTTTGTGTAGTTAACCATTTTAAAAAATAATATAGAGGCTACATTTGCTACTGAGAATTGTAATGCATATTTTTGTATATAGAAATACAGTATAAACAATATCAAGCTAAATTAAATAATTTGTAGTCAATAAGAGAAATGGTCTACTTTAAAAAATTTATGATTTAAATACCTGATGAAACAGTAATACTTTGGTGTGATTCCCTCAAATCCTTTAAGAAAAAGAAAGAATTTTTACTATTGCTTTAATGAACCAGAAACTTTAATTCTAAATTAAGTTAACATATTTAAAAATAAAATGTTACCAATACTTCATCCTCCATACTGAAACACGGCTTCATTAAATAAGTTTCTTCTGTGGCATCTGACAAATATGTATTCCCTACATATTCAATAAATAAGAAATAATAGAAAAAATAAATAAATCACAAAAACTTACATGTTTACAAGGAATGTGTATAGCAACTATTATAAATACTCAATATTTATTAATATAGATTGCAATCAATTTTTAAAAGTATTCAATACCTTCTTGATGTATATTGTCATGCTGTGTAAACCTGTTTGATTGCTATGTAAAAGAAAAAAGCTTATTAATATATATATATATACACAGAAAGTGAATCTGTAAACATTACTCAAAGGTATGCATTGTAGTCACAAGTCCTTTCATTAAAGTAATATACAATATTAAATATGACATTAATAAAAATTGATTTGGAGGTATTTTTTAATTTTTTTTTATTAAACTTGTTTTTTTTATTTTGTCACCCTTCCGTCTTAAAAACTGCAAGCAAAATTACAATTTCCTCTAACAGACTGTATGGTTTTATCTTGACAACACTTTAATGAAAATCATTTTGTTTTAAAATTTTAAGTGCATGATTATATAAAACCTTTTTTTTTTAATTTCGTTTTTTTTTCTAGTTGTTTTAAAAATAATTTCCCCTTGTTGTTCTTTATAATTTGCAAGACATATTTTAATGCTGAAAGTTTTTGAAACACAAATTATAGTAAAACCCTAAACCCTTCAGTGAAAAAAAATTCTTATCATTTAACAAAATATCTTCTTTCTGCATTTTGTTTGCATTTTTCATTTGTCCTTATAAACAAGAATAATAATGTTCTGAATCATATTACTTCATTGATTCAAAAAATAAACTGTAATATATAAAGTGTAATCTATTAATTATATTTGATCTTATGAAAATGGGTACCTCTCTTATGCTAATAATCTAAAATGAAACAAAATTTTAAAAATTTACATTAAGTTGATCATCACTGGTGCAGTGTGTTCTATTTTGTTCATCTACCTCTACCTCTTGTAAGATTCTTGTAGGGCCTATATAAATAAAAAAAATGCAATTATATGAGTATAATACTGAAAACGTTATTTAGGACAGTGTAAATATTTTTTTTTTCTGTGTGCATTTAATATTTTATTTAAAGTTTGATTTTTTGCTAGCAAAAAAAACAACATACCAGAGTTTAGATTCTAAACAGTTACTATTTATTTTTGCAATAGTGTAAGAAATACTAACAAACAAATTTTTTTTCAAAATTAAATTAAGTATGATTGTAATACCTTGTGGCAATGTACCAGATGATTCCTGTATGCAAAAGAGAATAATAATTATTGCCTAACTATTACATGAATCATCCTTAGCAAGCATGGATTATCAAAAACAAAATTGATGACATTCTTTTAATGTGAACAGTTTTATTCATCAAAGAAAACTAAAGTTGCAAAATATTATCATATTATTTGTAAACTGTTACTTTATACTTTAAGTGTCTAACTTACAGCCTACCCTTTGATAATAATACAGCAATTTCCTTTAAAGACTATATTGATTTAATTAATAAAGAAAAAACAAACTACAGATACCCTTGCACTATATATATATATATATATATATATATATATATATATATATATATATATATATATATATATATATATATATATATATATATATATATATATATATATATACATATATATATATATATATATAAATATATATATATATATATATATATATATATATATATATATATATATATATATATATATATATATATATATATATATATATATATATATATTGCATACATAAATATACATATATATTCATATATAAATACTAATTGTAATTGTTAATAACAAAAAATATTTACCATTGCCTGATGCTCATTAGGAAGATCTAAAAGTGGAATAACTGCTTGCTGGTCTTCTTCTATTAGTCGGAACTCTAAATTAACAAAGCAGAATAAAATGTGAATTCAAATTTCCAAATAGTGGATTTGAAATTCAAAAGTCCTTGTTACGAAGTCAGTAAATATAATTAAGATCTCTAAGATTGCATCTAATATATTTTGGAGCTGCCAAGAAAATAATTTTGAATTAGTATTAAAAAAACTTTATATTAACAGAATGTCAAACACAGGCCCTAATGTAAATTATGAGGTTGGATTCTTTATTAATTAAAAAATAGAAGAAACTAATTAACAAAACACCATATATAAAATAGTTACAATTTATTATTTGCAGCTTTTATATAAAATTAATATCCTTACAAACTGAAGTGAATTTTTTTGTAGTATAAAGATCTAAAAATAAATGTATTTTTAATTATTATCACATTAGAAAAATATATTTACCTCGCAAATGATTATTGTGCTGAACTGCATCTTGATTTAAATTTCTGAAAAAAAGCAAAACGTAGTTATATTGAGCAAAGGAGCAGGTATTTAAGGCAAATAGTTTTTTTTCTTTTGACAAAGTCATAATTTGATTAATACAACATTTTTAATGTATTGTTTTATGTTACAAAACTTATGTTTTTGAACTTGACAACAAGAAGATCATCTGATTATGTTAAAGCTACAGAATCAAAAACCACAATCAGTGTATTTTTTCTTATGTTGAGTCTAATGTTTAGTTAATGAACAGATTTATAGCAATGGAAATTTATATAGATATAGATAAACAAATTTATAGTGAGAATAAAAATATGTGGATTATATGGCATCAAGATCTGTGAGTAACATATTAAAAACTAATCATAATAAGCCATGGAAGTCAGATAGTTAACTTAGTTTACCCTGTAAGTCAAAATAAATTAGAATTAACTAAAGTAACACTGTTGGTTGGTGAGTGTTATATGAAGTAGAAATGTGAATACAAACTAATGAGTATAGTTAATAAAGACATTTGCTCTGGGAAAGACCAGTTCACCCTGATTTGATAGGTGGGAAAGCAAAAGTGGCTGGGAATGGATCAGAACAACTATCCTTTGATGATACAAGATAAGAGAAACAGATAGGTCAGCCCATTTGTTTTTGCAAGAGGTAATTTTATTTGTTTATTTGGAATTTAACAGTAGTTCAGGGGTGAAAACTGCATAAAAACTTTTCAACTTTATAAATTTTTAAATAGATGTACCTATTTTCATAATTTGCTCCTTTCAGCAGTTGCAGTAAGGGCTTTCGATATATTACCAATAAGATGATTAGTATACCTGCAACTTAATAATTATATAAATAATGTTAATAAGTAATTTATTTTTTTAACAAAATATACATAATAAATCAGAATTATGTTTATATTTTGTTCAAACTAATATCAATTTATTTACTAAGTAGGTTTAAATAACTGATTAAACAAATTAAGAAAAGTTTTGGAAATTATTTCTTTAATTATTTTTAAAAATATTTACAAAATATAAACTTAGGTAGATAAATGGTAAATGTATGTAGATAGCAAGTTTCTTTGACAAAGGTTAACTACAGATTTTGTATGACTATGTTTGTGTAAATGTGTGTACTACTGCTTTTGTATATGTAACATCTTATCATTCATTAATGCCGCGAGATGCAGCTTGGGCCAGCTTCACCGTAGGCCCGCGAGCTGCAAGGTATGGCTCGACACCGCTAGTGTTTTGTTTCTTTAACAAGTCATTTAACATGTAAATAATAATCATTAAAAAAGTTTTAAAAAACCCACGTTTTCTGATTGAACTAAAAAGTAGAAAATAAATGCTATAGGCCCTACATCACAATAATGCAAGCGATCACTCTACTATAAGCGATGAAAAACGTGGGGCGCCGAAGTAAAAGTTATATTACTATTGATTAGATAATACTATTGACTTTTATTAGGGAGCTTGTAGAGAGTCAACAGTATTAGAAACTGTAAGAAAATCACGGCGCCCCACGTTTTTGCTCGCTTATAACTCACAATTATCTTTAATTACTACTATAGAAATTTCATTTCTGATCATTTTGATGTATAATACATACATCTGGTTAATAAAACATAGGATCTATAATTGTTAACATAGGTGAGGGCTGTGTAAAAATAAATAGGGTCACGGAAATAATGAGGTCAGGAGGTGGAAACGCCTCTGGTATAGAAAGAGTTAAGTTGCTTAGCACTTATGACTGATTATTGTATTTTTTTATAAGACTGAGTTCAAATAATGAAATCAATTTAGAAATTGATTTGTTTTAAACATAATACTATGTTAGACATAATATTGATTAAAATAAATATTTGTATAATAAATATGCTACTTACTTAATAAAGACGACGTGCTTATTCCAATTTTAATCTCAAGATTATCATTGTTTTTATCTGAAGAAAATAATTAGCATTGCAGGTTCAATTTACAAAAAAAATTTTTTTACAATAATATAAAAAGATTTGTTTTTAAATTATCTTAAATAGAAAAAAAAACGTATTTGTTAGCACTATAGATGTTTCTAATAAAAAAGAGTACCTTTAGTTTTTCCTTGAAGGAATAGACAAATTTTATGACAGCTCTTGGATTCTCTAGGACTAGTATCTGACACATTAATTGTACGACACCATTCATGGAGGTGAATGACACTGAGTGGAGAAATGCAAGAGTAAACTGCATCTTTGAGACAAAATTCATCATCACCATAGCATTCATTAGAGCAGTTGTAAGGCTTGTTACTGGAGCACGTTAACATATTACTGGATTTCTTTTCTACAGTTAGAAAAAAATTGGAAAAAAAAGATAATTAAATATAGCTTGATGTATTATTTTATCTTAAAATGTAATAACATTTTACTATTGTGAACTAAACTAAAACAATATTGATAGTTAAAAGATAGAAAATAGCTTAAAGAATTAGTATAAAGTAGCATTTACAACTCTCTTACTTTTAATTGTAGGACTGTAATTTATATTTGATGTCCATCCTAATCCACTAACTGCATTGCAGACAAAATCTATTTAAAATAAAAACATTAAAAATGTTTAATATAAAGAGACCTATACTTATTTCTCAGAGACAATACATATTTGAATTTTAAGTGATTTTGAGAAAAATAGAATATTAATAATAAGTCCTATTTATTCATAGAGATCAAATGTTTTCTCAAATTAAATTGTTACCCTTGACAGAAAAATAAGTTTTGCATTCTTAGTGGTGGACATTTTTAAATCTAACTCAACAAAACAATAATTTTGTTTAAAAATGGCTCTTGACCAATTATCAACAATTCATATCTGAAATAAACAATCATAATTGACGGGAATTTAAATATGCAAATCAGTCAATGTCACTCAACGTGTAAATCATCTGCAAAATTTAATAACATTATACCAAAACATTGTCTCTTTTAGTTATATAAACAATCTTTATCTACTATTATGTTAACTTAAAACTGTTAATATAAAATAACTAAATTTTCCAGATCATTTTTTTCATATCATTTTATCAGTATTCCATGTCTGGCATAGTTTGCTATCTACAATGTTTTAACTATGGCTAAGGTATTTAAAATAAATATGCTTCTTATTTTAAAAAAAAAATTAAATTACTTCAATTTATGTATTTAAACTACTAAAATAGTCAGCAGTTTATTAACTAAATCTGAATGCATTTTTCTCATGAAAGCTAAGCTTTTTTATCAGTAAACATAATTATTCAATTGAATTTTTGATTATTGCTAACAAAGGTCAACTTTGAAAATTGAATAAAAAATCATTTGTTTTAAAAATTACCTGATGCATTTTCTATTGCTGTTTCTGACAAAATTGTAAATTTTTCATTGGTAGTTTTTGAACTATACCAATAGACAAGTGTTCGGATATCACTTGTGTCATTTCTTTCACATGTGCAGTTGAAAATATTCCCTTCTTCAATTAAATCTGGGCATGCTACCATTTTAATACTTGGGAATTCTGTGTAAAAGATGTAAGCATAAATAATACATCATAATCTGTTTTACTACTAAAAGTGATCAAGAATAGTAACAAAAGTAGGCTATTTAATTATTAAGTTAGTTTAAATATATTTAAATACACATATTTAACAAATAAATCAAACTAATTTTAAAAATAACCTGTGTTGATTGTGCCTTCAGCAGTTTTTTGTAATTCATTTATTAAAAATGTTGCACTGGTAGTCGTGATATTTGGAAACATTGTTATTCTGTATTTGAGCACACCAGGCTTTAACAGATGTTGAGGCACTGACAGTGAACATTCAGTTGTGTAGTAGATGGGATCAGTATTTGTAATTGAATGATTATAATGAACAGCCCTTTGGTTTAAAACTACCTGGATTGGTGTAAAAGAAATAATTAATTAATTTGTGTGAATATATATATATATATATATATATATATATATATATATATATATATATATATATATATATATATATATATATATATATATATATATATATATATATATATATATGTATGTATATATATATATATGTATATATATATATATATATATATATATATATATATATATATATATATATATATATATATATATATATATATATATATATATATATATATATATATATGAAGTTCTCTCATTTATAAGTAGGTGATTTTGACTTTTTAAATTATCCAAAGTTTTTGATTATTAAAAGGGACTTACTTGCTTGTAGCTAATGCTGAAGTGGCATGCACTTTTTGGGAATAAAGGGTGGCTGGTACATTTGATTTCAAGGCCACTGGGTGAGGCCAATTGTGTGCAATAGATTTCCTCTATTTTCTCTGTAAAAACATTAAACATCATTAGATTTACAATTTTATGGTGTAGGGTTTTATGTGATAATAACCAGGGCTACTTACCAAAAACATAGTGTAGTACACAACTACTTATCATGAAGTTAACCACATACAAATTCACTTTACCCATGCTGTCCTTAAAATAAAATAAAAAAATATTGAAAATATATCTTATAGCAAAGTCCTTTAGTTTTTTTCTATTTGTACATATATATATATATATATATATATATATATATATATATATATATATATATATATATATATATATATATATATATATATATATATATATATATGTGTGTGTGAATATATTTATATAGGCTAGAAACCTATTTAAAAAGTAAAAGTAAAATAATGAATCCTCTTGAGACTTTCAATCAATGTACGATAAAGTAAAGATCTTGACCTCTGCTTATATATTATATGAAGTAATGGTGTTTTAGCACTTTGTACAATCGCCTTTCCTATTTTTTTTTGGACGCAGATTCGAACTCGAGAATTTCAGGTTAGCAACCTTTCGCTCTACATCTTTTGTCTCCCTCTCTTTGTGTGTGTCTGTCTGTCTGTGTGTATGTGTGTCTATGTGTGTGTGTGTGTGTCTGAGTGTGCGTTCTTGTGTTTGATATGTGATAAATGCATAAGTCAGCAAAATGTCAGTGTATCTAATAAAATAATGACGAATTGAGATTAATTTACCGCTATGTTTTTAAATACATTTTTAACCCCGTTTAGCAATGAACTTAGATCAAGTACTTTCAGTCACATTAAATTGTCCATTTCCTGCTCTCATTGTATTCTATAAGATCATTACATCTGGATTTCAACTGCTATACTTCTTTGTTTTGGTTTACTTTATCTAGTAAAGATTAACATTGAGAAATATGCAGCATTATCTACTGACATATATCGTGAGATTTGCATTAATGGTATTAGCGATGGCATATGGCAAGTTTTCTTTACTACTATATATATATTTGAAATTTACTGAAGTGGATAAGACACTTGTTACAAGTTTAAAGTTGTTAATACATGATTTCTTTAGTAGCATAGGTCGTATGTAATGAAAATACTAAAAGTAATGTACATTTATACCTTTTTATGTTTCCCCAGCTTCTTATGTGGACGATGTTATGATACGAAACGTGATTCCCTGCAATAATGTTTCAGCCAACTACAGTTTAACAGTAGTAGTGAATGTTACAAGTGCGTACAAAAACATAAGTCAAATTCGACTCAAAACCAGAGGAACTGAAAATAATTCTGAGCAATCAGAGCTAACTGTAAAGAAGTATTTTAACTACGTTTTATTGCCTATACAACATAACGTCAACATCTATATTTTAGGTAATTGATCAGAAAATGTGTATATTATTTATTTAAATTGCCAGAAAAAAAATTCAAACAAATTTAACTGTTAATATTTTTTAAATAATATTATTTTTCGCAGTTTGTATTAGCAATTAGTTTTGGTATAGTTTAGGCACATTTAAAAATTAAAAGCATAATTATATTTACGTAATACTAAGCAATTAATGATATCAACAGATATGCTTTCTTCGAATAAGATATGGAAAATGCCTTGACGACTACTATAATTGCAAATGCAGAGAAATAGATGAATACATTTTGGAGTTAGCTGTAGAGACAGCTCCGGTCAATGAAAATACTATGTTAGAGACAGTTCCCAGCAATACAAATGGTCTCTTGAAAGTGTGTAGTGAGTAGAAATAATTACTTAACCCTTTATCTACTTACGGTACTTACAAGTACCACTTTAATTAAGTGCCTGTATTATTTTTAATTTAACACGAATTTTAAAAATTATTGATGTCATTTATAGTATTGTCTCCCCTGAGTCGCCGGTAGTTGCTGTATTAATAGCTCGCAATTGTTCTGTACAGTTCTCACACATGTTCCTAATTCCCTTTGTTTTACGTTATTTTTCAAGCAGATTTTAAAAAAATAAAAGACGCGGGTTGCGTGTGTATCATTTGCATATTTTTTTCGGTTAGTGGGTATTATTAGTATTAAGTGGGGAATAGTTTTGATATCCTTTTTTAAATTTAAAATCACTGGTTTGTTAAGTTAATGAGTTTCCCATTAGTTGTACATTTTTCCCTGGGTCAAATGTGTGAATACAAGGTGTGAAAATAAAGGTAGAGGGCCTTTTTTGTACAAAAGTTACTTGGATAGTGATGTTATTCAAATTTATTCAAATTCAAATTCAAATTTATTAAAAAAAACGGTTACAATTGTGAATCTACCGGGGTGTTGAATGGTATGTTTACGGGAAGTTTTAAATTACTAATAGATCTACTGAAAAGACACATGTGCGTTCAATTCTCAAACGTTAAACTAATACACTTATCTATAATTTTGTAAACTTTTATCATGCTTATGATACATATTTGGGTTTTTTTTCTATGTCGTTATAAGGGTTACAACTTTTATTTGATTATTCTTTGTTATTCTTTTATCTATTTAATTAGCTTAACTTAGTTTAGATTGATTAGTACAGGTTTGGTAAACCTCGTTGTCCCTACGATGTTACACAGATGAGTGAGCAAAAAAGATTAAAAATAAAATATACAAAGTTTATGATTAACACGTTTCATATTATAACTCAGTTGCGTAGCGAGTTCGGGTGTCACCCGGTGCGGCACTTAATGGTGTCCCCCCCCCCCTTCCACCGTTGTCGGGATTTATCAACTTTGCTCTTAAAAGACTATTTAATACTCTTATTAACCACTTATTAAAGTGGAATTATCATTTTTCTGTATATATTTTGCTATTTTTTGCCTTGGTGTCACCCCCCCCCCCCTAAATGGTGTCACCCGGTGCGGTCCGCACCCCCGCCCTCCCCCCCCCCCTTCGCTACGCCCCTGTTATAACTCATACAATAACATAAACTAAGGATAGAAAAATAAAACCGTTTGATAAAAGAGATATCCAATCAACCCTTTTATTTTCAGCAACTTTAAACGCTAATATGTTAACATTCATTGTACTAATTAATGTGTGCAATTATATAATAATTACGTCTAGTACATTTGAACGTTATTGATAGGAAGTATAAATTGCGATGAGTAAGAAACCAATCATCTTATCTAACGTTGTTAAACCCGGTATTTGAACAAGCGAATATTTCTAAGTACAATATCCGTGACAGTTTGCTTCGTGAAATTAATGTAGGTTAAAGATAGGATGACAAATGCTGTAAATATGATGATGACTACAGCTAAGGGCTCTGGTGTCAAAGGTCATCACTTGTTCAATGGGTTCCTCCCATGAGACAAAGTGGCATATTCCTTTTTCAACTATGAGATACAAAGTTGGGTAGTTGTCGTTTTAAAAATTGAATAGGGAAATTCAGCACTTAAGAAACGAACAAATAATGGCTTCAGAAGCTTTATTTAAATCAGTATCCATTTTATCCTAATTTATGTTTTCCGAAAATTATTGAAATAAACGCAATAAAATCAATCAAAACGTTATTCCCTTTTAAAAAAAACGCCCGTATTTTGAAAATGTATAAATGTTATTTCATTATTCCAGAATTCAACCGCAGTGAGCCATCGCATAACATAAGTAATACTTTTATATATTACAATACTTTTAAAGTTGTTAATTCGCTTGTCTTAATAAAGCACAATATTTTTGTTATTTATTAATTAAATATGAAGAAATAAGTAATATGTATAAACATATATAGATGTGTGTGACTTTCAACAGCTAGTACGGGTTCTTCATATTACTTTGAAATTGGCCTCTCTGTCGGTGGTGGGGTCATCATAACCGGCATGATCATTACAATAGCATTGACAAGACTTAAAGGTATTTACAAAACTTAGTGTATAACAGTTGATAAGTAACACATTTATATTTCAGGTACGACATAGGTACATATACTAACATTTTTCTCTAAATGAATACTAACAATTGGTTAATATAAAGAAAATAAATTTAAAAAAATGTCCTTTTCTAATAAGATGGCACTTTTGTTTAATTATATTTTTAAAAATCTTAGTTAAACTTGATTAAGTGCTCTATTAAAATATGCCGCTTTCTAACCAGATAATCACATGTTTGACAACAACCATTTCAACATTCAGAATACGTGCTGCGAGATAGGAATTTGAATTCTAG